CCCTAACACCAAGGGGTGAACACTGGCACTCTTCACATCCAATGATTGGATCAAATCCATAGGTGAAGGGGGCACAGCGCTCGCACCTGTCACCCTCAACACGTGGTGGGCAAATACACTCACCTAAAGGGAATTATATGTGGATGAAATATACACTTTATTCTGCTATTTATGTAGTTCTGTCAAGAATACTACTGAAAACATTGAAGTTACATCATACATTCTTTCAAGTTAACTTCTTTTACATACAGATAATATAAGCACCATATACTGATCTTTAAAAATAAAAACTACAAAACACCAACCAGACACAGGATCACAAAGTGCAGTGGAGGGGCAGTCACAAGGCTTGCAATCAGGGAAGCCAAAGAAACCAGTCTTGCAACGATTACACTTTCGGCCAATCACATTTGGACGGCAGGGGCACTGGCCTCCAAATTCTTCACACTCAAAGCTTTCTGAGCCATAGAAGTCACACTCGCATTCCAGAGCTCCATTATTATAATCCATTGTCAGCTTGAAGGCAGCCTCCTTACAAAATCCTGAAATAAAAGCATTTGCATTGTTTGTACAAGTCTTGATCAGAAAGTAGTTTTCTCCTTCTACCAAAGACTTAATAAAGAACTATTCTAGCAGAATCAGTTCAAACAAACCTACCTGTAGTATTTGCCAGAATATTGAAATTATTCTCTCCGCAGATCCTAATGAATTCTGCAGTTTTATCATGTGGGAGTTCATGCAGTACCTCTTCAGTATACTGTGCTGCTGGAATCACTAACAAATAATCTAGCCAAATAGACTTATGGTTTGGCTCCTGTGGAAAGATGAATATCATATAAGCATTTGATTACAAGACATACATGAAATATGAAACAATATAAACATGAGAGGGAAACTTTCGATAAAATGCTATATTTATTCAGATTTGTTCCACATAACCACCATTCCCTTATAACAATAATATTGCTGATCTTTTAATGATAATCATTCTTATAATAATAATAAACATAAAAATAATAATAAAAAATAATAACATTAATAATATTAATGATAATAATAAGAAGAAGGAAGAAGGAAGAAGGAAGAAGAAGAAGAAGAAGAAGAACAACAACAACAACAACAACAACAACAACAACAACAACAACAACAACAACAACAACAACAACAACAACAACAACAACAACAACAACAACAACAACAATAAAAACAATAATAACAACAACCACAATAACAATAGTGTAATAATAATTATCATTATCATCATTAGTATTATCATCATTAGTATTGTCAAGTATTATTATCTTTCCTTTTACCATCATAATAACAATAATTGTAATGATTATAATAATGATGATGATAACAATCATAAAAATAATTATTGTCATTATCACAATGACAATAACAATAATAACAACAATAACAACAATAACGACAATAACGACGATGACGACGATGACGACGACGACGACGATGACGACGACGACGACGACGACGACGACGACGACGACGACGACGACGACGACGACGACGACGACGACGACGACGACGACGATGATGATGATGATGATGATGATGATGATGATGATGATAATAACAAAAACACTACTACTACTACTAATAATAATAAAAACACTACTGCTACTAATAATAAAAGCAATAGTAATAATGATAATAATTAATAATGGCTAAAAATAGCTAATAATAATAATAATATAATATATACTGTTAATGATACTGCTATTACTTATTAATATATCGCTATTTAATGTTGATATCGCTATTAATGTTGATATTATCGTATTATGTTGATATCGCTATTAATGTTGATATCGCTATTAATATCGCTATTAATGTTGATATCGCTATTAATGTTGATATCGCTATTAATGTTGATATCGCTATTAATGTTGATATCGCTATTAATATTGATATCGCTATTAATATTGATATCGCTATTAATATTGATATCGCTATTAATATTGATATGATAATCGCTATTAATATTGATATCGCTATTAATATTGATATCGCTATTAATGGCTAATATTGATATCGCTATTAATATGATATCGATATTAATATTGATATCGATATTAATATTGATATCGCTATTAATATTGATATCGCTATTAATATTGATATCGCTATTAATATTGATATCGCTATTAATATTGATATCGCTATTAATATTGATATCGATACTAATATTGATATCGATACTAATATTGATATCGATACTAATATTGATATCGATATTAATATTGATATCGATATTAATATTGATATCGATATTAAATATTGATATCGATATTAATATTGATATCGATATTAATATTGATATCGATATTAATATTGATATCGATATTCGATATATATATCGATATTAATATTGATATCGATATTAATATTGATATCGATATCAATATTAATATCGATATATTAATATCGATATCAATAATATCGATATCAATATTAATATCGATATCAATATTAATATCGATATCAATATCAATATCAATATCAATATTAATATAATATTAATAATATCAATATCAAAATCAATATCAATATCTAATATCTATCTAATATCTAATATATGAACATTAACATTAACATTAACATTAACATTAACAAATATTAAGATATTAGATATTAGATATTAGATATTAAATATTATTAATATTATTAATATTATTAATATTATTAATATTACTAATATTACTAATATTACTAATATTATATATTATTAATATTATTAATATTATTAATATTATTAATATTATTAATATTATTAATATTATCAATATTATCAATATTATCAATATTATTAATATTATTAATATTATTAATATCATTAATATTATTAATATTATTAATATTATTAATATTATTATATTATTAATATTATTAATATTATTAATATTATTAATATTATTAATATTATTAATATTATTAATATTATTAATATTATTAATATTATTAATATTATTAATATTATTAATATTATTAATATTATTAATATTATTAATATTAATATTAATATTAATATCAATATTAATATTAATATTATTATTATTATCATTATTATTATTATCATTATTATTATTATTATTATCATTATTATCATTAGCATTATCATTAGCATTATCATTACTATTATCATTATTATTATCATTATTATTATCATTATTATTATCATTATTATTATCATTATTATTATTAGCATTATTGTTATAAATATTAACATTAATATTAATATTAATACTAATATTAATATTAATATTAATAATAACAATAACAATAACAACATTATCAATAATAATATTATCAACAATAAAAATCATAATAACAACAATAATAATGCTAACAACAAAAATAAAATAATATAATAATAAAAATAAGAAGAATAAAAATAACAATAACAATAACAATAACAACAACAACAATAATAATAATTATAACTATAATAATAATAATAATAATAATAATAATAATAATAATAATAATAATAATAATAATAATAATAATAATAATAATAATAATAACAATACTAATATTAGTCAAAAAAATCAAAGGAAATAGTCAAACCTTTAGTGAGAGAACAAAATTTTCCAAAATATCGAAAACATGAGAACCATCGGTCTGTTTAATCACAGCTCTGCACCCTGATATACTGGGACAGTGATGCACAGGGAGGGATCCCTCGTAAAACTGTCCATTCTGCAGCAACACATTGAGATCAAACTCTGGAAAAATAGAAGAAAAAATGATGATAATCGTTTACAAATCACAGAAGGCATAAAGTTTGAACTAGAGCTACATGACTGGATGACTTTAAATGAGAAACCAGAATGAAGGAACAACTGACACATTTTTAATAAATAAATAAATATCAGGTGTGTGTGTTCACCACCTTTGAGTCATCACACTCATTCTAGCTTTAGCTCTACAGAAATATTAATTTGCATAAGCACAGTGTCTCTGCCCACAAAGATAATACATTACAAATAGAAAGGTTGCTGACAAACAGAAAGAGAAAAACAGACGTGAGACAGACAGACAAACATATAAAGATTGCTAAGTAGATGGATAGATAGACAGATAGACAGATAGACTGAGAGATAGACAGATAAATAGATAAACTGATAGATACACAGCTAGTTAGAGAGACTGATCAACATATAGATTGTCAGATAATAAACATAGACAGCAAATTGGTCAATAGCAAGATAGACATAAGATGAATACCCAGATATATTAACACATATAGATAAATAAAACCAAATACTGTAGCTCTTCTTTTTCACAAATATTACACACTATATGCATAATTTTTTTTCAAGATATTATAGCTGACTTGTCATTTACCTACTTTGTCCTTGATAAAATCAGACGAAATAACTCTTGCACTCATCAAGCAAATAAACATGATTGTGCATTTGACTCAAAATAATTTTATTCAATTCTCTTAACTTTTGACAGTTCCAATTTTCTTCTGTTTCCAATTTTCCTATGATAAAGTACTGTGATAATATGGATACCAATTCCATTATAAAAGGTCAATGCATTTACTTCTGGTTTTGCCAATAAGGTCATTCTTTTCTTTTTAGCAATATTTGCATTACAAATTACTATTATTCTAACAAACACAAAGTTATAGAAAATGAAGTGCTACTGTATATGTGAAAGCCACGAATATGCTCCATCACTGATATATTAGATACAAAATATATTGAATTGTTAGAGAAAGCTATATCAGTTATAAGAACTCCAAAAATAAACTTACAAAGTCTCCTTGATAAGAAAATACTAACATAAATAATCCAAAACCAAATACATACAAGACAAAGCGTAAAACCACACCAACAAATATACAATAAAAACAAAATAAAAGTAAAAACAAAAACAAAAAAACACAAGCTTAAGCAAGGCATAAGCAGCAGCTAACCTTCTTCACTGTCATAAGCAATCTGTACATTCAGCTCAGCATCTGCAGAAAGCCATCACATGTAAAAAGCATTAGTATGTCATATAATTGCTATCAAGTAATTTCTCTTCACTTGACGTGACACTTCAGAGACAATATTGGTGTCTGTTTCATCTGAATAATATGGTGTCATTGGTAACACGTTAATAATAATTTTTGTTAGTAATTAAGAACTTAGGAACTCTGCTAATAAAATGCAAATAATAAAAATGCATTTTTCTTCTTATAAATTTTCCAGCCATTGGAAATAAATCCTATCTGGTGATGCAACACAATGCTGTCTACACTATCAATAAACTAAATAAATCAATTTCTGAGTATACTGTCCTGGAAGGTCGTCTGATATACTAAACTTTCAATTAATATCTCTAAATAGTAGATGAAATGAGAAAAAATATCACCTAGCTTCTTCAAAATTCAAATTCTCCAATTCCAGAAAAAAAGACTGACTGCATAATTGGCAACTAAATATGCTGATGGGTAATTAAATATACAGGAGAAATATCTGATCATGCATTGTCAATCACACTGAAAAGAAACCACTGATGGAAATACCCACACACTCATGAGCACGCACACCAAATAAATACCTGGATAGTATGGCTGATAGTAGTGCACAACAAAGACGTAATATCCAGCATAATTTAGCTGTCCTGTGATGTCTACCATGGGGTCACTGTGGTTGAGGTACACAAGGCTGGTGCCTTCCTTCATGCCTGCTGGTAGTTCAGAGACCATCTTCCCTTCCAGGTTTGATTCAAACTCGATCTGTTATCATCATGGAGAGAAATAAAAACTGCACTTGTAGAAGAAAGTTATATACTGAGCACTGGAAGAGTAGAATGTAATGTGTCAGAGTGTATATCTTTAAGAAATTAATTTGCAAAACATAAGAGTATGCATGTAGCTATTGAGCTTCTCTCTAACAATCATATTCAGGTTTTGGAAAATCCTTTTAAAAAAATTAAATTATTACATAGTTTCCTGTTCAATTTCGAGAAGGGCAATCAGTCAAGAACAAGTTTCTGACTGAACTAAATATTCACACATGCATACAAGTTATTAGTACTAAACTGCAAATTAATTAGTACTAGACTGCAAATCAATTTGCAAAACATAAGAGTATGCATGTAGCTATAGAGCTTCTCTCTAACAATCATATTCAGGTTTTGGATAATCCTTTAAAAAAATCTAATTTATTACATAGTTTCCTGTTCAATTTTGAGAAGGGCAATGATTAGTCAAGAACAAGTTTCTGACAACTAAATATTCACTCATGCATACAACAGTTATTAGTACTAGACTGCAGTTACTAGGACTAGTAACTGTGGTCAATAAACGCATGTATTCCCTTGATACATAACTTGTTAGATGAATGACACCTGACTAAGGCTCACTCAGTGGCATTCCTCTTTAGTTATTTACATTTGCTACTTTATAATGATAATGTGTACTTATCAATAGGGGACCTATTTCAGTATGATGATTGACAATTCTAACGCCATAGATAACTTGCTAATAATACAGTAAGATTAGGAACCAATAGACAGAATCTCAAATAACTATAAAAGGAATACAAACTGTATGCCTAAAATAAATACCAAGGGTACAACTGATACCACACAGTCGCTTGACTGTTGCAAGTCTGCCTAGTAGATTTTATGAGCCATTTGTGCTATATGCCAATAACTAAATGCTCAAGAACCTAGATTTTGGCAACCAGGCAATTGCCTATTTTGCCTATAGAGGAGCACAGGACCTGGATATTTCTGCATCTGATGGGAGTGGCTGAATACAAGTGTGAGGGAGTGATTTGTGTGTGTGAGTGAGTGTGAGGATCGGATGGATGGATGGATGGATGGATGGATGGATGGATGGATGGATGGATGGATGGATGGATGGATGGATGGATGGATGGATGGATGGATGGATGGATGGATGGATGGATGGATGGATGGATGGATGGATGTAAAACATTCTTTAATGGTAAACATTCTTTAATGACTTTACCTTGGTTGTCTCAGGCGGGAATGGATAAAATGACTCTTGGCACACTCCATCCTTGCGCGTGCACTTCGGCTGAGGTCGCACCAGATCTTGGTGCCACAGGTCATAAGGAACTGCCACTATGGAGTCGATTCCGATGTTGGTATTTGTTTCGCCCTGAAAGAGAGGATAAAAACGATCATTACCTTATTTCCAGTAATATTATTGAGCTATATTATCAAGCTATCTAATGACAGTAAAAACACAATTGAGTATATTTGCCGTAATCTTGAGACTACAGACAACATTCATGGACGTCCATTTAAGTTAATATAGCAACACGCAATAGAGTGATAGCTTTTCCATATTCCAATATATCTGTAATTCGTTAGTTAGTTGAGGAGAGAAATACAGACTATATATATATATATATATATATATATATATATATATATTATATATATATATATATATATATATATATATATATATATATATACCTTGACATCCACACTGATGAAGTTGCTGTCGAAATGGAAGACGCCCACTTGACCGCTCAGATCAGTGACTGCTTGGCGGCAGGTGGTCGAAAACATGCACTCGTACAAGATGGCACGGCCCTTCTCCCTGCCCTTCATTGTCGACGTTTCCACAATGACGTTGGTGGTCGTTGCACCGGACGGAGTGTAGTAGTTGATGAGCAGAATGTACCGGCCAGCACGGGCCAGTCTAATGTCGTACTGGACCTCGGGCTGGTTGTGGTTCAGCCATGCCATCGGCTGCGTCTCCAGTTCTGCCAGGATCTGAGGGAATGCAGGGCTTGTAATGGGGGCCAGGTAATTAAGGGGAAGAGGAGAGGGAGGGGAGGGCAGGGAAAGGGAAAGGAAAAGGGAAAGGGAGGGGAGGAGGAAGAGAGTGAGAAGAAGGAGAGAGAGAGAGAGAGAGAGAGAGAGAAGAGAGAGAGAGAGAGAGAGAGAGAGAGAGAGAGAGAGAGAGAGAGAGAGAGAGAGAGAAGAGAGAGAGAGAAGAGGAGCAAGCAAGCGTGCAATTCCATCAATTCCATGTAATATTTTGTTTCATTTCAACTTCACGACGCACAACGGTTTACATGAAATTCCTACCTCGTCATCGCTGAACAAGTCAACAGCTAATCGTTCCCCGTCGACACTTTTGTAACCTGCGGAGCCGTAGATGTAATCGTATTGCAAAATATCTGGATAGGCGTAATGCAGGCACATCTCGCTCTTATCCTGGCCAATCATGCAAGCAGTAGTTATGTTCTCCGTGAGGATAGTGCCTTCATAATAGGCCTCGGGTAGAAGTACGAAGTAGTCCTGAAATTTACCATTCCGACATTTACTCATAAGTGAATTGTTCAGATATGTGTAGTGACAAAATTCATGTTTCTTCTCTATGAAATATAAGGACAGCCAATTTCTTCACTGATTCAGAAGAAAAAAAAACATGCTATATCAATTACCTCCGCTGTTCTTTACCTTCATATAATAATAAATTAATCAAATCAATGGGAAAAGATGTTATTATCATTGGAATTGTTAACTCAAACTAAAATTCCGTATGAGTTTAAAACCGAAAACAGAAGACATACCAAGAAAAGATTCTGACTGTTGACAATGGAAACCGTCCAGCGTCCAGGGTTCATGACCAGATGGACGGGGAAATCGCCTGGGACACGAACGACGGTCATGAGCTCTGGGCCTGATGTTGGCAGGAAGTACACGGTGTCTTCCTGTTTAGAAAATTATAAGATAATAATAGTAATAATAATAATGATAACAAAACAACAATAATAATTAAAAATGATAATAACGATAGCATTAATTGTGATTAAATAACTGCAGATAGAATTATTATTTATATCGGAAGCTTCGAGACGAACGAATTCACAAAGATGGGGAACATGACCATGGCAAACGATAGATATACAAGTATAAACAACATGAATTTTATGGACAGTTTCAGGTACATAACAGGAAACCAATGTCAATTACATGGTTAAGGCAGCAGTTGGTTAAGTAAGATTATTCAAATGGTCAGGCAACGTTAATCACATGAGTAATAAAATAATCATAATAATAACAATTTGTCGCACCTGTTCCGTGTCACTAGGGTTGTCTGGCGTGATCTTGATCGTGCCGACAATCGTCCTAGAACTCGGGTTACGGTAGTACATCAGCATGCGATAGAGGGACGGCTTCTCGATGTACACTTCATGAATGATTTCCTTCTGGATGTCGGAGAAAACGGCGTAGCCCCTCCACGAGTATCCTGGGAAAACCTCCTCGTCGTATCCAAACCTGAAAAAGGTAATTGCTATCAGTAAACATAAAGTGCATAATCTTCTACAATACGTGAAGCACATAGCATTTGCAGGCATGCGCATCCAGAGGTATTCTCAGTCCGATTGTCCGAAAATTCGTTTATCAAATGTTTTGTTAGTTTAAACTTTCATCTATAAAGTTGACACGAATGTTGAAGTTTAAGTTATGGTTAAAAGTTTGTTACAATCTAACGAAGGCCCTTTTTGGCACTTGGTCTGAGAACACCTCTGGACACTCTTGCCCTCATTCATCAATTATGAATAAAATAATTAACACACAAGAAGAGTCCTGTTGGTACCGCACCTGACGGCGGTGTTTTGCGGCGTGTGTCCGTCCTCGGCCTCGTACTTCAGCTGGTAGAGCGTCGGGAAGTAATGCAATTTCAGTACCTCGTCGCACCTCTGGCCGGTGACCCTCGGTTTGCAGCGGCACTGGCCACTGATCTTATCGCAGACGTTGTCAACGGAGCCGCCCTGGTTGCAGCCACAGTCTGAGCAGCCGAAGAGGTTATTGTCCAGGAGGTTGAAGGTTCCGTCGCGGCATTCGTTGCACCTGCGCGCTGTGACTCCGGGTTTGCAGAAGCACTGGCCCGTCTCGGAGTCGCAGGAAGCCACGCCGCCTATGGTTCCCGGTGTGTGGCAACCGCAGTCTTCGCAGCCCAGAGGATTGTCATAGCGAAGGTTCC